CCTCCCTTCCTTCCTTCCTTCTATGCATTCTCACCCTTACCCGTATCCTCTCTTTGTCACTTCCCATCCCTTCCCTTCCCTTCCAGGCCCATGTCTAAGATCTCCTGTCATGAGTTAAAAAAAAAAAATCACACCTCATACATATCACTCCATAAAATGCCCTCTTTTCTGCTTCCCTGCAATGTTGATACATGATTTCCATTCTTAAATATGTTTGCCTATTTGTCCTTTATTTCTCTCCCATAGAGGAGTGCTGGATGGCTTCTAGTGTATGTAGTGTGATTAATAAGTACCATTTGGTGATCGTACCGTATTTGAGTTACTCTGAAGCCCAGATGGAAGTGGAAGACTTGAAGTTTCCTTTCTCACGCAGTAACCATGCCGTGATTTCTGTCTCAGATAAATTTTACAACCTTTCACTGGCAAACATTTATTACCTCGTACCGTGTAGGAATTTAGTCACCGTTTAATTCATTCGAGTGCTCAGAGGAGGTTTTACGTTACTCTAGCACACAGGGATCTGACAGGTCGTTCAGAAATGGCGTGCCGAGCCTTCATCTAGTCCCTGCTTTCCAGATCAGAGAGAGAAAAATGACAGCCGTACGTGTGGAAGCAGTTGTGGTCAAGCCCTCTGGCGGAGTAGCCAGCAGTAGAGGGGGGAGGGGTCGCTTCGCTAGCGCTGCCTGTGCTGCCGGAGTGGGGAGGGGGCGGCAAGGCAGCCTCTCTCCCGGAAGTGCCGTTGTGCGTGGCCGTGTTCTGTCACCTGAACTCCCATAACTGGATTTTTGGCAGTGAAGGCGATGTTCTGTACTGTGGGTTGTTGGGCTCTGCAGTCTGTGCTCAAAGTTCTTTACATCCAGGTTGAATGATAAGTCACTCTGTAATTCCTGAACATTTTTTTGGATGGCTAAAATCGTTACCAGATAAAAAATGGAGACAGTTTAGGGGCATCTGGGTGGCTCAGTCGGTTGAGCGTCTGACTTTTGATTTTGGCTCAGGTCGTGATCTCACAGTTCGTGGGATCGAGCCCCGTGTCGGGCTCCATGTAAACGGCGTGGAGTCTGCTTGGGAATCTCCGTCTCCCTCCCTCTCTGCCCCTCCCTGCTAGTTCTCTCTCTCTCTCTCTCTCTCTCTCTCTCCCCAAATAAATAAATGTATATATATATTTAAATTTTTTTTTTTCAACGTTTATTTATTTTTGGGACAGAGAGAGACAGAGCATGAACCGGGGAGGGGCAGAGAGAGAGGGAGACACAGAATCGGAAACAGGCTCCAGGCTCTGAGCCATCAGCCCAGAGCCTGACGCGGGGCTCGAACTCACGGACCGCGAGATCGTGACCTGGCTGAAGTCGGACGCTTAACCGACTGCGCCACCCAGGCGCCCCTGTATATATATATTTAAATGGACACAGTTTAGAATCAGATACCTACATACCAGTTGTAGCTTAGCCGTGCGGTATTCTGTGTCATGGCCGGCTGCTTGTGTCACTGTGACCCAGCTTCAAGGTTGCAGAGATTTTTGTGAGAAAGAACGACAGTGGCATACAGACATTTAGCTAAGTCCCTGGCGCTTAATAAGTATAATAATGCTTAATATTATTAATGCATAGTCTGGATGGAAGCTGAATATAAGTTAGCTTTTACCCTTTAAACCTGTACTTGGGTTCATCTGATATTCTTTAAAAGGTAAGGTAGTCTAAAATACTTTATTTTCTGCATGTTAGTGGAGAATTGAGAGTTTATTAATATGTTATATATGCTCTTAAACTAGAACGACTTGGTCAAATTAGGGTTTCCAAACCTAAACTCCGAATAAAAACTTACATTTGTGGCTTTACTTAACCACAGGAGGCTTCATGGGAAAATGCACCTTTACTAAGGCTTGAAAGTTAGAAATAGGCTTAGAGTTAGTTAGAGAGGGGTGCCCTTGAACTTCAGGTTTTGGCCTGATGTACTAGGTCACCATTAGCTGTCTGTCTTACTTCTTGTTGACTTGTTATAACTCTACCCTTTTGCTCCAAAGCTGGAGCCTCTTTCTGTGGCGGGGCAGTTAAATATCTAGGAGCTGCAGGAATTTTTAAGTTTAGGTTTATAGAGTAAGGGAAAAAAGCTTCGATGATAAAACTTTGCTAATGACTTTATCAGAGACTGGAAATTGAGATTTTGTGCCTGAAATTCAGAATTGACACCAGATGGCAGTGATGGGTTTTGGGGGGAAATTTAGATGTACTCAGATAAGAATCAGACGTGAAATCATCATTGATTTTTATTTTTATTTTTTTTAATTTTAGAGGGAGGGTGAGTGCTAGCAGGGAAGGGGGCAGATAGAGAGAGGGAGAGACAGGGAGGGAGAGAATCCTAAGCAGGGTCCATATTGAGCCTGGATGCTATCCGGGCTATCCCACAAACCTGAGATCATGACCTAAACTGAAATCAAGTCAGACGCCCAGCCAACCGAGTCACCCAGGTGCCCAAATAATTGATTTTTTTTAACTAAAAAAAGAAAATTATTCCCATTAAAGTAATGGGAATATTGAATATTGATTAAATTTATGAAATAGTATATTTCTGGCCCTCAACATAGAGTCTGACCCCTGGTAAGTTCTTGGTAGATGTTTGATGAGTGAATTTGGCTATATTTAGAAGAAACAGTCTCATTAGGCCCCTGGCAGATGCAGGAGATAAAACTGGCCATTTGGGGGCGCCTGGGTGGCACAGTCGGTTAGGCGTCCGACTTCAGCCAGGTCACGATCTCACGGTCCGTGAGTTCGAGCCCCGCGTCGGGCTCTGGGCTGATGGCTCAGAGCCTGGAGCCTGTTTCCGATTCTGTGTCTCCCTCTCTCTCTGCCCCTCCCCCGTTCATGCTCTGTCTCTCTCTGTCCCAAAAATAAATAAAAACGTTGAAAAAAAAATTAAAAAGAAAAAAAAAACTGGCCATTTATATCAGCTTAAGTTGGTGCTACCTTAGGAATTAAAAATGTGTTAATTCATGTTAATGATTGAACATTCTTGCCTTCCCAGGTTATTTTACTTGAAACAGTTTAAGTAAAATAGCCTTGTGTACTCCTTTTAAGCCTTCTTATTTCTCTCAACAAAAGTGTGCAGTTAACTCCTTTTGTGCTGACCTGTAATGTGTTGTCAGAATTCACCAAGTATGTAAGTGATAATTCTCCTAGCTTCCCCCCACCCCCCATTCAAGTCCACATTAAAAATATGCTTTGTATACAGGGATATATCTGACAGTTTTACTTTCCTAGCACTTCTGTAAATTTTTACCTTGAAAATCTTTCCACAGTGGCTAAGTTGTTAATATCTTTTTAAGCAGTCCTGGATGACATTTCCTGTGACCTCACAAAAAGAATGCCTTGTAATCCCGTGCATGTGCATATCACAGGGCAGTCTTGTATTTTCAACTGGATGGTTTTTTGAGATCAGCTGAATATAATGAAGACTCTTAAAATACTTATACTTAGGGGTGCCTGGGTGGGTAATTCCATTGGGTGTCTGAGTTGGGCTCAGGTCATGATCTCGCAGTCCATGAGTTCAAGCCCTGCATCAGGCCCTGTGCTGACAGCTCAGAGCCTGGAGCCTGCTTCGGAGTCTGTGTCTCCCTCTCTCTCTGCCTCTCCCCCACTCAAGCTCTGTCTCTGTTTCTCTCAAAAATAAATAAACATTAAAACAAAATTTTAAATACTTACACTTAGATTTTTCTTAGTTTACTCACAGTACTTGAGTTTCACTTCAAAATTTCTACATATTAGTATGTAACAAAGCAATTCTAATTCCTCTTAAGGGCACAATTAGAGAATGAGAAGAAGAAAAGGGAGATAGCAGAAAAGGAGAAGGAGAGGATAGAACGTGAGAAGGAGGAGCTAATGGAGCGTCTACGGCAAATAGAAGAACAGACGCTGAAAGCCCAGAAAGGTAGGAGCTTCTGTTCAATGTTGGATTCACAATCGTTCCTCTTTTGTCAGATGTAATATTTCCTTACTCTGTTAAATCTTATTTGTCTTGTAGAATAAGTCCACTTAGTTGTCAGATTAATACATACTGGAATCACATCCGAAACACATTTAACTGAGGCGCATAGAATGTTCCTGTGTTCGTGTGTTCTTTCTTTTTTATTTATTTAAACACGGAGCTGTTTTCATGTGTACCCTTATTAAATGTTGTAAATGAGTGCATATATTAACTTTTCCCCCTTACTGTTCAGGGTTCTGTAAACACACATTTTCACTACTTGCTAGCATTTCAACAAAAGCCATTTTATTCGTTGCTTTATGGATGGATATTTCAGTACTTTAAGGCAGCTAAGTAATTTAAAGTGTTTTAAGCTATTCTATTATAAACTCCTTTGGAACTCCATCTCTAAAGTTCATTTTAGCATATTAAAAAAGTACACAACACATAGAAGTGCTTGTTTTTGGTAACACATTGGGAAGAACTACTTCCTATGCAGAATGTAACCAGAATGCTACAGTGTATAGTAAGGAAAATTGGATTTAGAGAGTGGTTTATATTAAATAAGTCTAGGATATACTACTTAAAAAAAAATTTTTTTTAATGTGTACTTATTTTTGAAAGAGAGAGAAAAAGACACAGAGTATGAGTGGTGAAGGGGCAGAGAGAGAGAGAGAGAGGGAGACAGAATCTGAAGCAGGCTCCAGGTTCCGAGCTGTCAGCGCAGAGCCTGATGCGGGGCTCGAACCCATGAACTGTGAGATCATGACCTGAACTGAAGTCAGACTCTCACCCAGGTGCCCCTAGGATATACTACTTTCAAACAACAAATAGCAGGAAGAACAGAAGAAAAAGGGTGTTGAGCAAAATAAGATGTTTTTCTTCTCAACCAATAGTATTTAGTGAGGGTTGTAAACATTGGAAATATATACTAATTACTGGAATTAATAGCTGCTTTCCTGACAACTGGTAGAACCAGCTTTTAGTTCTATTTTTTCTAAATTAAATAAGAACATTAAAGTTTATTAAATAATAACCTATTTAAGGTTATTCTCATTCCTTACATCAGGGGAGATGCTCTGGAGCAGTGGGGCGGAGAATTTGCAAATGGGTAACAAAGTCCCAGAGATGGCTGTAAACCCACAAACCGGTTCATCATTCTGATTCCAAGAGGATTGGAAATAATAATTGTAAGAGAAGAAATGGAAAAACCGTAGTAGCCTTACTCTCACTCATTAGAAACCTTACTTCCAAGAGCTAGAAAATGCCTCAGTTCAAAGATCAGAGGTATTAAATATACTTGTTTGCAGGCCACAACGCAAGAGTAGAACCTGTTTTCTCACTTCCAACTTCATACTGTTTGTGCCACTCCAGGTGCCTTTTTTGTTGAATAAAGTGGACACTTAGGAAGTGCCTTTCGGGCTGCCTTCTAGGAATACAGAGAATTAGCCTGCGTGGCTCCAAGTCTTTGTGGTTGGCAGAAATAAGATGCATAGAAATACAGATAAAGGGAGGCCATTTGTGCCTGATGTTGTGGAAGACTGTAAGCAGTGCTTGGAGAGGAAGAATGCTGTCAGCTGGAATGTGTGTTTTTCAAGGAAAAGTTGAAAGAAATTTACCATACTGGCATGACTGTAAAGGAAAGATTGAACGATACCAGTTTTTAATTTACATATATCTCTTTCTGAGAGAATAGCTACTTATCTTTCAATTTCGTTTATTTAGGATGCGTAATAAAAATACTAATGATTTACACACAGAGAACTACTCAAGTCAAGAAACACTAAAGAATATAATAAGGAAGATAGAACCTAAGAAAGAATGTAGAGTGTCCCAATCAAGACAATTTCCAATCCGTCGTCTTAGGGCAAAGGACATCTAATTGTTTCTTGGTTTTGGTTTTTTCCTAATAATAAAGCTTTTCCAGGCTGTCCTAAAATCTTCATGATTGTCTTGTAATTTATGATGAATTCTCACTCAAATGCAGTAACTCTGGCCGTATCTAAGTAATAGTATTTAGTAGATAAACCTAAAATTTTTTTGTTTGAGAAGAAACTTTTTCTATACTTCATTATTATTATTACCATTTAATATTACCATTATTATTATTATTATTACCATTAATTATTATTATTACCATTTAATTAAAAAAATTTTTATTACAGTCATTACTTGAAATGTGTTATGAATCATTATACAGAACCATTCTACCATTTACATTTCCACAATTCATCACTGTTAAATTATTTATCTTTTTTTTTTAAGTTTACTTATTTATTTTTAGAGAGACAGAGACAGTGCGAGTGGGGGAGAGAGAGGGAATCCCAAGCAGGCTCTGAGCTGTTAGCACAGAGCCCGACATGGGGCATGAACTCAGAAAACCGTGAGATTATGACTTGAGCTTGAAACCAAGAGTTGGGTGCTTAACCGACTGATCCACCGAGGTGCACCTCGTTACTGTTTTTTATTTTTTTTTTTTTAATTTTTTTTTCAATGTTTATTTAT